TATGTTATTTGTGTTACCTAAAATAAAATTATTTATAAATGGTGTTGAGTTATAAAAATGGTAGTACATAATACATATTGCTAAAAACATTACAGTATAATATTTATTTTATTTATGACATGTGTCCTTTATCACAATAATATGATTTTATTTAATGTGGATCAGATAAAGTCAGTATATGAGAAAGGCAAAGTCATAAAATTATTAATTCAATGTGATAATGGACAAGTCATTTAAATAAAACGATAAATTAAAATTATTATCTTGTTCTAAAAATCAAATAAAATATAAATTATATAAATTAAAAATTAATTAACAATACAAAACATTGCAATATTTACGATACGAGAAATCGTTTATCCGTATCGATTACGCGTTTTTTTGTTTTCGGTGTCTCCGCCCTCGGACGCTTCCGCGACCTTATCGTCTCGATAGCGTACGAAATACGATTATATATGTGTATATATATATAATAATAATATTATATAAAAAAGAAACGTGCGTACCATTGTTGACGTACGTCAGATTATGTTTATTATAAACAAAAAAATCGCAAAATCGTTGCTCTTTAGTCGTTGTAATGCCTTTAATCGCATATCGTGATATGTGTATGTGATAATAAACTCGGTACATCGTTAAGACGTATACGATTAAAAAATGTAAACGAATACGTCGGAAACATTCTAAACGACAATAAATATGCGATTTACGGTTTCGTGACACGCGAATCGTAAAAATTGTACGGGTTAAACGACGTATAATGTAATATTCGTCGCATCTCTAAAACGGTTTAAGTGCTCGAAATTCGATAACAGATGCCAACTCAAACGGTAGTCGATATTAGGATAGGTCCCCCAATGTTAGGTAGGAAGCAGGTTCGAAACTCTACCCGGCGTATTCCGGGCGGCCCCATAAGAAACTACTCGTACGGAATTTTTTGCATTTTTTTTTTCATTTAATTCGATCATTATTATTTGCTATTTTCGTTTTGATATGACATTATTACTCATAAAATATTTTTCAAATTTTAAAAACGATTTTTGATCTCACACATTACATTTTATACTGCTTGATTGATGATGACAAAATATATTATATTATAATATACTTTACACGAACGTTAAATTACACAATAGTATTCAATTAAACCAATTATAGTTATTGCTAACAGTATGCACAATTCAAATGTACATATTATGTGATATGCAATTTATATTATAGCCTGAGAACGTTCTATTGATGACGATACAGTTGTTTCACTCAGTTTTGACGGTGAATTCACTATTTTATATGTTTAGCCTTTCAGTTGCTTACATTTGAAAGATACAGGGGAAAAACAGTAGCAAATTTTTTTTCTTTTGATTTTTAAATATTTTGTCATCACAGAAAGCGCATAATATTTCTTTTCGATATCTAACCATCTATAAAATATGAAAAAAAATATTAATTATGTATAGTTTTTTTGATTTTCAACTAGCTAACGTTTGACATGCATTTTCCATAATACGTTTAACATCTCTCCTTTACGCCCACATCGTCCGCGATCCGACGCAGTCAGATCGTCTACTTGGGAGGTTCAAACGCGTTTAATTGGATTTTCAGTGGTGATCGCTTGAAAAATCGAGCGCTCGATTCGACTTAAACTTTTTTGCGTACTAAACAGCACAACGCTTTCGACGTCAGGAGGTATGACATGAGGTATTGCCCTGTCAGGAATCGATATTCACTGGACGATGACTGATAACTAGACACTTAATTAATTTTTCGGAATGTATTTATTTATTTTCCATGCACAAAAGTACAGGGCAAGCTACGGGACAAGGTGTATTACACCTGTGAATTTAATGAAATGACCAACCACTAGACGCTCGAATTAGACTTTTATTATTTACGCGTTTAAAACGACACCGCCAAAGTGTAGAGCCACCAAATCAGAGGTACCAATATGTCAAACATCGTTATCACTGGTTTTGTCTACTAGACTTTTCTAACTGCTGTATTCTTAAGTCCTGTCTCCGATCTAGGAAATTCACTTCAAACGATATTCAGCTACCTAGGGTACTCACATACAACATGTTTTACCGACCTAGGGTATTCACATACAGCAAGTTTCACCGACCTAGGGTATTCACATACAGCAAGTTTCACCGACCTAGGGTATTCACTTACAGCGAGTTTCACCGGTGCTAGTGGTATTTATAAAATAAACTATAATATTATATTTTATCTAGTATATACTATATTATTAAAGTATGATCAATGAATTAAATACAAATAATTTTTTTTATTAAGAAACTTGGTGAAAACCATTAGCTTCAACAATTACAAACATATAGATATATAATAATGTATTGGATTACAAAACAGTATTTCTTTAAATTTAAATTATGAAACCAGCCTGATTAAATAAATTAAGTAAGGATAATATAACGGATTGAGAATTGCAGGAAAGGATAGATTGAGGGTTGGCTGGAATGTTTAGAGAATTAATTAAGGAGAGAAAGCTTTCGCGTTGGGAGGAGATATATGGGCAGTTAAAAAGAATGTGAGTGATATTGCAAGAGGCGGGAGTAGCATGGTGAGTGCAGAGGGGGGAATCATTTAGGCCAAGCTTGAATGAGTGCGATGGTAGTAAGGTGTGTCCGAAGCGGAGGCGAGAGAGAGATGAAATATTCTTGCGAGATATATTAGATTTGTCAAACCAAGGGAGGGGAGAAATGGATGGCGCAATGTCTCTGTACCAAGTGGCGAAATGGATGGGAAGACCTTCCCAGTAACTGAGCCACAATTTATTGACACTATTTTTTAGCATTGGACAAAAATCAGTCCAGGGGATTGTGCTGGATGGAGGGCAGCATAGGGAGGCTGTTTATTTGGCTAGAGAGTCTGCTGTCTCATTACCGAAGATCCCCGTATGGCCAGGGACCCAGAGAAACTGTACATTAAAGTCTAATTCGGTGAGCGTGTGAAGGAGGGATCTGATTGTAAAAATGAGTGGGGTGTTGGGTGTATTGAAAACATTTGACCCAAGAGCTTGTAAACATGAAAGAGAGTCAGTTATGATTAGAAATTTGTTAGGGGTTAGTGTGGAGATGAGACGTAGAGCTTCAACTGTAGCATAGCATTCAGCAGTATAGGACGATGCAGTGGGAGGAAGATTATTAGTGAAGGAAATATGAAATTTTGGAACAACAAAGGCAAAACCGGCTGAAAGAGGTGTAACAGATCCGTCGGTGAATATTAAAACAAAATCAGGGAAACTGTTGTTGATATAATCCAAAAATAGGCCATTGACGAAATTAGGTTGAGTAGTTTTGAGAAAATCTATCGGAAAATCCAAAAAGTTTTTACTGAAATGTATTATGGGAGAAAGAAGGAGCGAAGGGAAGTTTGTATTGTACAAAGGTAGTTTAATCGATTTACTGATATATTCCCGTATTGGAGCGAGTGAATGAGCAGTTAGAGCAAGAATGGGGAGCGATTTTGGGACGTAACGCCAGGAATGATAAATCTCAAGATAGTCGAGGAAAACGTCAGGGTGAATGTTGGCCAAACTTTTGAGCAGGAACTTACCAGCTAGCCATCTACATTTGATATATAGTGGTGGGCAGGCCATTTCGACTTCGATAGCTGGAGATGGAGTGGATCTCAGGGCACCAATGATAGTTCTTAGGCAAGATATTTGGAGTTTGTTGAGTTTGTTACAATGTGTAGAAGAGGCTGAACCAAAGAAAAAACATCCATAGTCCAATTTCGCACGGATAACCGATTTATATATGAGTAGCAAAGATGTAGGATGGGAGCCCCACCATGCATTCGCTACCGCTCTAAGAAAATTGGACCAGCGGGAGGAGAATGTTTTAAGTTCTTCGAGATGGGATGACCAACGGAGTTTAGCATCTAAAGTTAAACCTAGGTATTTATAGTTATTTACAAAAGGTAGTATATGACCATTGATGATAATATCGGGACAATTATTGAAGCGTCTTCTTGTAAATATTAAGGCTTTGCATTTTTCAGGAGCAATGGAAAAAAAGGAGGATGACAAGATATTATGTAAAGATTTTAATGCATTGTTAAGTGATATGGTTGCGAGATAGATAGATTACAATGTCGTCCGCGTAGACTAAACATTTGTGCCCGAGTGTTTCTAATTGATTTACAATGAAGGACATGTAGATGTTAAAGAGGATAAGGCTAAGACAGCTACCTTGAGGGAGACCGGTTGTGGTGAAGCGAACGTTATTGGAATAGAATGGTGAAAAGAAAAATAATTTCCTGTTGGAGAAAAGTAGTGATACGAGATTGGAGAAAAAAGACGGAAGATTGAGGGTTTGGAGATGAGAAAGTAGTAAAGGGATGTTGACCGAATCGAAAGCACCTCGGACATCTATAAATGTAGCAATAAAAAATTCTCGATTATTAAAGGCCTGATATATTTTACCTGTAAATTTAGCAAGGCATTGGGTTGTGCCCCTTCCTCTTCTGAAAGCATATAAATTATCAGGTAAAAAAGAGTTCGATTCTAACCACCAGTCTAGTCTGTTTTTGATTATGTATTCAAATACTTTACATATGGCAGAAGATAAAGCGATAGGTCTGAAGGATGAGATCGAATTTGCCTTAGGTATTGGGATTACTTTGAAATCGGTCCAGGGTTCAGGGATCATGTTCGATATAAATATATTATTTAAGATTGAGAGGAGAAGGTCAAGTGCATTGATTGGTAAGTTACGTAACATAATAGCAGATATGTGGTTCATGCCTGATGCAAGAGACTTGCGAGAAGCTATCGCTGAATTTAATTCGTTTAAAGATATAGGTTTATTGAGACAGTGCTCCGAAGGGGAGGAAGTGGAATACGCATGATGGATTTGAATGGATTCTGATTCAGAAGGTACGTAGCAAGGCGCAACTTTAGAGCAAAAGTCATCAAACCAATCATCATTGTGGGGTCTTGTAACTGGATGAACGCACCTACGAAAACGTTTGGCTGTGGCCTAGAGAGATTGTAAAGAAGATGAAGGATTGAGTGTGGAGCAAAATTGTCTCCAGGAGTCTTTTTTTTTGTTTTTTAATAGACGGGTGGTGGAGGCGCATTGATTGCGGTATTTAAGAAGATCTTGTATTGAACCAGTATTGCGATAAATTTTAAATAGTACGTTGCGTTTGTTGACGGCTAGGGTACAAGAAGAGTCCCACCATGGGGGCGAAATTGGATAATTATTGGAATTAACCCGCTTGAGGGGAATGGCTTCTTTGGCAGAGTCAAGTATTAACTGGGTAAGTTGGTTGTATTTGTCCATATTACAAGTTGTTTTATCAATATGAGTGATTGAGGAATTGATAAGTTGTGCAAAGAGTTGCCAGTTAGCTTTATTGAAGTTGAATTGAGGAGGGCATGATTGTATATTTGCGGAATTAGCAAAAGTTAATCTATTGGAATAAGGCTGATAGGCAATATCAGATTTGATTGAGATTAGTATTGGGAAGTGGTCACTACCATGTGGGTCGTCGAGTGCGGACCACGATGTGTTCCAGATTAAATTGGGAGAGGTGAAGGAAATGTCTATTACGGAGTTACTACAGTTAGGTCTACCAAGATGTGTGTCAGAGCGGTTGTTGAGGACACAGAGACCTAATGAGTTAATTGTTTCATAAATTTCGTTTCCTCGACGGGAGGAGAAGGAGGAGCCCCAAGCAGGATGATGTGCATTAAAGTCACCGGAAAAGATACAGTTACTTTTAGTTAATTGGAACAGTGATTTCCAAACATTTGATGGGATAGCTGAGTCATTGGGAATATAACAGGACCAAACTGACAAGGAGGGGACGTTATCACCGTTGTCGATCTCTGCCCCGATCACGTCGATCTTGTAGCGAGCAAACGTTTGAATTAAATTGACCTCTATATCGACTTTTCGAAACTTGAGGGATACGTGAATTGCTATTGCAACACCACCGTAACCATCGGGACGGTCAGATCTTACAAGATTGAATTGGGGTATGGTGAATCTACGGGTAGGGGGAAAGTAGTGCAATTGAGCATTTGGTTAAGGTAAGTAAGTGCTGAAGAGAAGGTAGGCGCGCAGGAAGACTACGAACGTTCCATTGCAGTATATTTATATTATTCATATTGGTAAATTAGAGCGTATGTATTAAAATTGAAGTTTAGTTTTGGTGATGAGAGGTAATAGAAATTTTGGGAATGACTAGGAGAGAATGTATAGATGACTCAATTAAGTTTTTAAGTGACGTGGCAGATTGTGTGGAAAGATCTAAAGAATTTAAAAGTGACTCCGATAATCGTTGTGATAGAGTATCGACCCATGAAAAATCATTGTTTTGGGTATTTGTAACTGTGTTAGATCGATTATTGATAACATATTTTAAAAATTCTCCATTAGGTGCAGAGGCACTTGATTGCTTGGGGAGGTTAAAGTGGTTTTTATTTGGGGAGGGGGAGCGGGATTTATGTTTCCTAGTGGGACGTAGGGAATTTTTTGGTGGGGTAGGGGTGGGAGAGGTTGGTATGGAGTTAAAGGGGTGGGGAACAAAAGATGCTTTATTTGAAGAAGAAGAAGAAGGCTGGTTACTTACAATGTTAGAGTAGCTTAAGGCTGATGTGACCTGGTTTTGTTTCTTGAAGATGACTGCGACTCGAAAAGATAAGTTTTCTGTGGCCATTATTTTTTTGAGGTCCCGCTGGGATTGCCATTCGCGACAGTTTCGATCAGTTGCAAGATGTGGAAGTTGGCAGTATAGGCAGCATGGATCGGTTGCTTGAGCAGTTGGACACGATTCAATGGAGTGCTTGCTTACACCGCAGTGGCTGCATGTTGGGCTACTACGGCAAAACTTTGATGTATGTCCTAAACGTAGGCAATTTTTACATTGGAGAGGAGAACGTATGCTAGGTGATACCTCAAAAAGCATATTGTAGATGGATATGCACTTTGGGATTTTACAAGATAAAAATTTAAGTTCTACTATGCGTGTAGAAGTGATTTTACCGTCCTTGTTGGTAGAGATACGTTTGAAAGCAACAATTTCAAATTAACTTTTCATGCCATCCCAGAAGTCCTCAACTGCGAAAGCAGTATCCAATTTAATGATACCGTGAGAAAAGATTAAAGTTGAAGGTATGTATGCGGATAGATTATTTTCCTGAAGTAGAGTAGATTCGAGGCATGTGTTTGCATGGAGCGTTGACTCAAATGTAATTTTGATTTTTTTATGACCGTTAGGTTTGATGTTATTGATTCCGAAAAAATTGTTACTGAAAAATTTTGCGCATTTCAGCGGGTGCCAAAAGCCAGTATCGGAGCTTGGATCTGTGGATTCGATTATTATAACGGATGGACCGTTATAATTAGCTGGAAAGCATTTACTGTGTTGATGGATATTAGGCTTAGTGTAAGTGAAAGTCTGTGGGTTTTGTGAATCTGTAAGATTCGACGTGCTGCTACCAGGTTTGGTGGAATTAATTATATTATTAGTGTTATCGGTAGAGTTCATATTTCCATGCGGGTAATTATCGTCCGTTGACATCGGAGCGTTAATATCTGTAGGTAATGGTGATTGTGATGCGGTATTTTCGTAATCAAAACTTTGATTATAAGTGTTCGTATAGAGTGTTGGCGGATTATCCAAAATGAGTTTAAGACTTGGAGAGATAGGGCTAGGTGGACTCGAGGTGTTAATAGAAGTTTTGGACTTACGATTTTTGGTATAATCCACTTGTTTCCATTCTGAGTCTGATCGGTTATTTTTAATTTTGCTCGTCGAAGGTTTTTGGCCTAGATTACGGCCATCGCCGCCGGACGACGACGGCATTTGAGCGTTCCTAATTAATTGGATGCGATAAGATAGCGCGGTGCACAGAAAAATAAACAACCGTTCACAGCGAAGACGAAATTGAGACTGAAATACAAATAATAAATGATAAAAACCTAACTTCACCGATTAAAAGCTAACTAAACAGGGTGTTAATTTATAGAAGATAAAATTTCTTATTATACATTTATCGAGAAATTGCAATTGGTATGAAATCTATTTCTTATTTATTTATTTATTTATTTGCAGGCGAATAAAGCGAGAATTGGGATTTTATCTAAATGTTGGAGGTTGGCATAGACTTTTTTTTTTGTTCTTATCGGGTTTGCTGTTATCACTTGTTATCAAAATCGGGAAAACTGTACCCTCCACAAGTTTACAATAGGTTTACAATAATATAGACATGTACATAATAATTGTAGTAGTGGTGATACTACGGTATCGCCACAGTCGTAATGATTCGTGATTTGAAATATTTGATTATGATTTGGGATTTATAGTTGGTTATACTGAGTCGATGAGTTGCCGAGAAACACTGAATCGACTCATACAATTTATTCATCTTCAAGAGTCGACTCGGTGAGTCAACTAGCTCATGAGTTACTAAGTGCAACGGTGCAGAGTGGTGGAAAACGCTATTAAAAATGTTATTTATGTTTATGTTATTATAATTTAAAAACGATAACAGTAAACCCAAAATAAATTTTATTATTATCAACTACAGTTGCCAGTCATCGACCATCGTCATCATGCGACGTGCAGTTTATTATAATTCATAATGTATACTCTAAATCTATACAGTATACACTGTATAGCATATTATATTATGTAATATTGTAATGTATAGTCAATACTCAATAGGCGCAGCGAGTGTATTATTAGCGTACACAAATAGTATGATGATCATAAGTCATTACTTATTTTAATAATGTTTTGCAATATGTAGTAATTTAATTAAAATAATAATATTAATATAATATATAACAATATAATTACAAACTACAAAGTATTATTATAGCAACAGCCAACAACTAATAACATATTAAGAGCTGTAATTGCTAGAAAAATAACAATATAGACATAAAATAATAATAATAATAAAAATAATTCATGGTTTTCCTATTCTTTAATCTCTAGTATTCTGATGTTATTTTTACTCTCATTAATTTACTTAAATTAGTAGTTGGTAAGTACTTAAGAGGACGCCACACCAAAACGCAAACGTAACAAACGCTCCAGAGATGGCGTTGTTTGCCGTATCGCCGCCGTCGCGGCAGTTCGTAACCACGCCTATTAAGAGGATGTCAGCGCAGCTATTTTTCTTCGTAGTAACATGCTTTCGAAAAATAGTGTTTATTCCAAAATGATTAGACTTAGCGTTATACAACCTATTATAAAAATTAAAGGTAACAACATTATCTAGGGAATGTCATATCCATTTAGCTTTTTATTAGTTTTTTACTAAAATACGATCATTTTAAGTTGTCGAAAATTGTAACTTTTTAATCATAAATAACTACCGTTTCAGCTGTTTAATCAAAAAATGGATATGACATGCCCTAGATAATATTGTAATCTTTAATTTTGAAAATTTGGTGTTTTTCTCTAAAATCACTCTAAACCGTTGTTTTGGCCATTTTTCGTAAACATGTTTTTTGTTATCGAATTTAATTTTTCATTCGTAAGGTGCTGCTGCCTACGAACGGCGGCGACATCGACGATTATTTCTCCCACTATTGCCACAATCAGCGGATTCGGACGCGTCGCGGTCGCATGCACGCACGGTATATTTTTAACTAATCGGCGAGACGGCGATTAACTATTTCGACGAAGTATAAATCAAAATTACAAGATAAGATATTATTGCAATGAATGCAATGCATACGAAATAATTTATTATAATAATATTGTTTCTATTGTTATTATATTGATGTTCAAAATAAATATAAATATCATCGATAACTATACGGTATAATGCCATGCCCTATCCCCCTATCCTCTATAGTCTATACTCTAAAAAATCTAAAATCTATACGAATACGATAGTGAGTATAGTACGTAAGTCGTAATGTGCCAGACGACAGTTTAGGACATCTAGGACCTAGGTTATTAGTTATTACTTATTGACTGTTGTTATATTTCATTTATCGTGTTTACTTGTTCAACGTGAAAGTGTGAAGCACGAAACTAAACGTAATACGTTTATTATGGCGAATAAAAAACTTACTGCAAAGCGTACTATTAAAAAAATAACTACTAGGACTCTAGTTCAAAATCGGTGGTCCAATCGTATTTTAAGGTAGACCATTAATTTATTAATTATTAGAATTTTTTAATTGTACCTAATTGTACGCAATAGCTTATATTATTATATATTTCCAGTATTATAATATTATCATAATTAATAAATATAAGTAATACTATTAATTTACATATACCTATTGTTCCTATATATATATTCTTTAGAGAAGCAGCTAGTACGTCAACAGACGATGTTGAAAGCGTACAAAGCGTAAACGCTGCAGACTTTGTTATACCAATCCTGTAAGTAAAACTATTGAAATTAATTTGTTTATAAACAACACAAATAGATTATTTTAATTATTATATTTTTATCCCATTAATATAATATATATATTATACCTATGTTATTATTTTACAGTTTTATTATGTAAAAAAAAAAAGTTTAAAAACCTAATTAATTATATTATTTATTTATATTAATTATAATTTTTTTATTATAAAATGTTTATTCGTAAATGATAGCTTTACGTCTTCTCCGATATGTACTGAGCAGTTTGAAATAGAGAATTATAATTTAATTGAAGAGACACATTGTGACGATGATATGTAAGTATCTATATTGTATCAAAAATTATCAAATGGAGTATCAAAAATGTATTTTTTTTAGTGAGAGCAAAGCTCCATTGGCTGGTAGAAGAATAGTTGACATTAATTATTTTTTCAAACAAATCCAAGAAAGTCTGCATACTGGTAGTTTCGGATGTAGTTTTTTAGATATGGACTTTGTTAGTGAAATACACGTTGGTTTTTTGTCAAAATTTAAATTTAAATGCAGAATGTGTGGCATAAAAACGCTCATTTTATCTGAAAAAACTGGAGAACCTACTGAACATTTGCCAATCAATGAAGCAGCTGTAAATGGTACATTATCAATAGGTATAATTTTTAATTATTTAATAGAAGTACAAAAGATTTTAGTGAATCAAAATTATGAAGTAACATGATTAAATTTTTACATATTATATATTATATTAGGAATAGGACATAGTCAGTTATCAGAGTTTACTGCTGCAATGGAAATACCGTGTATGTCGAACACAACATACTCCAGGGTGCACGAGACAGTCAGTTTTTCAGTTCATAACACAGCTTGGGATGAGATGAAAAAGGCAGGTGTAGAGGAACGGGAATTGGCATTAGAAGCTGGAGAGGTCGATGAAAATGGAATACCAATGTGTACAGTAGTAGCAGACGGACAATGGTGTAAAAGAAGTTATAAAACAAAGTATGATGCACTATCTGGAGTGGTACGTATACATTTTGTCATATGTTTCGTTTTAAATATTGAAACTAATATATAGGTATTCAATTTTTATATTTTTATTAAGGCTTCCATCATTGGATATAGAACCAAAAAAGTATTGTTCGTAGGTATAAGAAATAGGTATTGCGTCATTTGTCACCGTGCCGCTTCTAAAAACGAAAAACCTTCTGAACATCGCTGTTTTATGAATTGGAATAAATCTGCAACAGGTATGGAAGCAGATGGTGTTGTTGAAGGGTTTATGAAAAGCGTCGAAATGCATAATTTGAAATTTAATAAACTGATTGGTACGTATTACGCTTTCTTTATAGTTTATAAAGTGCAAAATATAGTCTTAAAAATGTTTGTTGGTTTTACATTTTAAATTACCAAATACAGTAAAACTTCCATATAAAATAATACGCAGATACTAAAAAATATATTTTTGACTAGAGTTATTTTCTGATATATGTATGTAAAATTTAAAAGTTGTGTATATATTAGGTATAAACATGTTTATATAAAACCATAACGCACTTGCAGTACATATTTTCTATTATTATGACCGTTATTTTGAGTGCCCATACTATATAGAAATATTAATGTATTTTTCCCATAACACACAATTTTTTAGTTTAAAATTTCATTTATATTCCAGGTGACGGAGATAGTAGTGTTACTAAAAGATTGTTAGAAGTACTACCTTATGGCCCTAATGTTTTAATTGAAAAAATAGAGTGTCGCAACCATCTACTGCGTAATTACAGTCAAAAAATAGCAGCTATTGCAAAAAAAACTTGTTATCCTATAAATTTACGTAAATTTATAATTCAAAATGCAATGCGGTTTCGAACTGGAATAGTAAAAGCTATTCGTTACCAAAAAAATGAAAATAAACCTTTATGTCAACAAATATCAGGTAGGTTAGGTTAAATAATTACTTATAAAAACCAAATAAAATTATTTTATTTTCCAGACTTAGGCAAAGATATTTATAATAGTCCATACCATGTACTAGGACAACATACAAAGTGCGCTTCGTATTTTTGTAAAGGAAATACAGTTTCAGAACAAAATTTAGTTGTACAAGCTGAGAACAGTGGCATGATGTTAGAAATAATAAATGCAATAAATCGTTTAGTCGCTAATTCTAGTAGCTTAATAACTGACGTAGACAATAATGTATGCGAACAGTTCAACAGCGTGATAAATAAGTACATTGGGGGAAAACGAATCAATATATCACAAAGAAACGCGTATAATGCTAGGGTTGAAGCTGCAGTTATAGCATTTAATTCAAAAGAATACTTACGGACCATACATAAGAATATGATGAAAAAAAGTCCAGGTAATACAGTTATTTAATAAATACATATGCCTAATATTATATAATACATAATATATAATTTACTAGATAATTTTTAAAATAAATAAAGTAAATATTATAAGACTATATATTTATTTCGTATTATTAATTTGTAACAGGTATGTTTGGTAAGACTTTTTTAAAAAATGCCAAAAGACAAAAATTAAATAATCAAAGACGACGAGCATTATTCATTAGAAAAAAATATAGTAATAAGCAGCTTAAAGCATCGGGTCCTGATGAAAACTATGGTCTAGCAGAAGAATTACCCCCGGAAAGTTCTTATGAGGATTTGACAAACATGAAAATGAATTTTATTAATGAAATTAAAAACATGGATAGAGGTAGTACAACTAGTATACATTTTAGTATTTTACGATGTAAAGATTTTAATTTAGATGTGTATATATGTTTAAAATAATGTGCAATAATAGAACAATTGGAGAAAAACACGAGAGACCAAGCAAAATCGCAACTTTGGTACGCAGAAAGGAGAAAACGATTGACTGCTTCCAAGTTCGGAAAAATATGTAAAATGCGTCAAAATACCTCATGTAAAAATACGGTGCATGAATTATTATATGGACAGACTAACCATAAAATTAAAGCCATAGAATATGGTAGGGTCATGGAGTCTGTAGCAAAAGTTAAATTCGAAGAATTGTTTAATTTAAAAATAAAATCTGTAGGACTTTGCATAGATGTTGAAATTCCTTACTTGGCTGCTAGTCCAGGTAAAATAAATATTACTATTTCAACTACCTTTAAGCTTTTTTTAAATTTAAAATGTTTAATGTTTATGTTTTTGTTGTAATAATATCAATCATTATCTTGTTAAATAATTTTCAGATGGTTTTATCGAAAATAATTTTATTATCGAGATAAAATGTCCTTTTTCAGCTAAGGATAATACAAGTTTAGAAGATGCAATGAATAATGGAAAAGTAGGATATATTTTTATTACCTAATAACAACTATTTATTATTGTATCTACAATAATAACTGTATATTGTACAGTTATAAAAAATATGTAAAATATTTTTGAATATTAATGTTAAAAAATGTTGTTTTATAGATCAAATATTGTATTATTGAAAATAATACAAAAACAATTGAATTAAAAAAAAACAGTGATTATTATTACCAAGTGCAAGGCCAACTGCATATAACAGGGAGAACAAACTGTTATTTTTTTATATTTACAGAAAACTGGAATCATACAATTAATATTATGTATGATAATGAATTTTGGTCGACTAAGATGGTCAAACAGTTAAGTCTGTAAGTATAAATAACTAATTCTAATAAGACGGAACTTACTAATTAATTACGATTGATTTTTTTTTAGATTTTACACCGAATGTTTACTTCCAGAGTTGGTAATGCCTCAATATGGTAAACGGTTATTAGTCAGTGATATCCGTGAACCAGATCACATTAAAAATAAAATAATTAAAGCCTAACAAATTAATAAATACCAACAATTTTTTTTTTGTTATTTATTTTTTTGTTATGATAACTATATGTAGAGAGAAATGTCAGATTAAATTGAAATAATGGAATGGTATTTTTATATTAATTAAGAAGAACAAGTGAAGAAGATCGAGCTACAAATATTACACAATTGTTTATTGTGTTCTTTGTATTTAACGTAAACGTATCAATATTGATAATGTAACTAAATTATCAAAATTATGATGTACATAAATAGTTAATTTTTTTTACCTATGTACTTAGCTACACCTGACTAAAAAGGTAGAAAATCAATTCTCTGTATAGAAATATTAAGATCTATTATGCGAGTTGTGAGAGCACCCTGGTAATATTATGTAGAAACGAAACGCAAGATCCTTACGTTACGATCGCACATACAATAATAATGCACCTCTCCGTCACGATAATAACTCGCGCCGTTCGCGGTCTCCGCACTACGAGAAAATGGGTGGGGCTTACGCCGCCGACGCCACCGAGACGGCGTGCAACGCCATCTCTGGAGCGTTGCATATGTTTTATTTTGCGCTGACATCCTCTTAACTTCGTGACGAGATCCGCGTATCGTAGTTTCAGAAAAGGCGCATTATTCTTCCGCGGATAGTTATTTCGTACGTTTCGCTCTTTAGAGTTGTACAGTTCGATACCCGCAGCGAAAATGGTTGTAACTCAGTTTTTATGATTTTTCAGAGTGACTGTTTTAACATTATAAATTACGATTCTAATTCTGCTTTTGAACTTTTTTATGTTACGTTCTTATCATTATCAATATCTCAGAATAAATTAAAATACTATTTTTAAGTTTTTTGTCTCCTATCAGTTATCATTGACTTAACTGAGTTACGACCTTATGTCAAATTTCGTAACTCAAGTTAATTCTATTTTCGCGGGAAATATATAAAAAAAAAAAGTAGTAACTCAAGTTAATTCTATTTTCGCGGGAAAAGTATAAAAAAAAAAGTAGTAACTCAAGTTAATTCTGTTTTCATTATTTAGCTGAAAAATAAAAATAAACTATTGAATAAAAGAAAATTGTCATATTATTTTTATTACATATTATTACGTTGTATATCTCAAGTTATTATAATATTAATAGATAAGTTTCACATTATTGATACTTAATTTTTGAGACTTATAGTAAAATATCTTAAAATACTGAATTGTTGAGACTCTGTTACAAAATAAAACATCTTAAAAAAAAAACACATTATTACTAAGTACCAAGTCTTGACTCTTGGTTATTATTTAAAGGTACAATGTATTGTCATAATAATTAATTAAAAAACAAATAAAATATGTTTAAAGAATGAATAATTAACAACTGGATTAACTACATTTTCATCAATTTTTGAGACTCATAGTAAAATATCTTAAAATACTGAATTGTTGAGACTCTGTTACAAAATAAAACATCTTAAAAAAAAAATACATTATTACTAAGTACCAAGTCTTGACTCTTGGTTATTATTTAAAAGTACAATGTATTGTCATAATAATTAATTAAAAAACAAAAAAAAATATACAAATAAAAAATGTTTAAAGAATGAATAATATTAACAACTGGATTAACTACATTTTCATCAATTTATATTTTATTCACTTGCAGGACTAGAACTAAGTGATTTGTAAAATGCATGGTATACAGTGGGAATTAGGCCTGTGTTGCACAAGGATAATAAGTCGTTTAGCTTCAGTTTTTCAATTGGAAATGGTTTGTCATAAGCTCTCACAGGACCACAATGTGGCTGATGTCGTCCTCTGTTTTTCTTGTTTTGTAGAGATATAGTTATAGTTATATTTAAGTTATATTTTATGCTAAGTTGAAAAGGACATTTAAATGTAACCATTATTTCTTTTACACAGCTCCATTTCACTAGCAATCCGTTACTTGCTAATTTCCAGTTGTACTCACTGTTATTTACAATATGTTTGAAATCCAAAAAGTCTTTATTTGAAACTTCTTTAACTGAATATGGTGCACCTTTAACTTTTGCACATTGAACTAAAGTGACCCATTGGGCTGGTACATAAATTGTTTTTCCTTTTTTTGTTTTTTCGATAGTGGCATGCATACTATCCCCCTCATTTTGGGTATGGCCTTTTTCAAGAAACCTATGCGTTATTTTAATTTTAAGTTTATATGCTGCATATTCCCACATCGCAAACACAAAACGGTTGCGATTCTGCCCACCACAGTTATCAGAATAGAAGGAGAACTCTTGAATGCCATCATCCTTCTTTTGTTTTAAAAACATGAACAAACAGGTAGCAATTTCATTTGCACCCCTCTTAGCATCCGATTCGTTCCATATATAACAAAAACCTTCTTTCTTGCCAATATCGTAAATAGTGAAATTATACGTGGCAAATTTTCTTTTATAATAAAATGTACTTGTTTCACCTTGTGGCGTCGTTAAGACTTTTTCTAAATCAAAAACCGCCACACAAAATCCTGGTTCAATAGAGGCTCTTTCTTTATCAGCATTTTTAATTCTTCTAACTACTTCTTTATTAACCCGTCGTTGGTACACATATAGTTTGTAACATGATTGTTACACTGTGAGCGCGGCGCTCACACTTCACTTTTTTTATTATTATTAATTGATCTATTATCTTAAAACATCAAACCATATCTAGAATTATGTATATTTTTATCCTTCACTAAAAAGTATATAAATACTTTTTATGTACATTTCATAATTTATAAAATAAAAATAAAAAACTACAATCTCATTCCAAAAAAAATATTTTTTTTTTTTTCATATAAAGAAATACAAATTAATTAAAATTTATAAACTATTAAGTTTATGACTTTGGTCTATTCACTTTCTGTAGAATTTGTTTCGTTGTGATCGTTACAGCAGGATACGCATGTGCTCATCGTATGCTCCTTACATATTGGCACGCTGCATTTTACGCACTTGGTCTACGAAATTATTTCAAACAAATAATGATTACATATATATAATATTATTATTATTATTATTATTACGTATTTATAAAAATATTTCCTCACCATGGTCTTTCGATTTTTTCTTTTTGGACAAAATACGCACTTCGGACGATGTTCAATATTTGAACGTTCAGGGACTTCATTTTCTGCCTTGGTGTAACCAGTTAATTTTATTATTCTTTGTCGAATACTTGTACGCAAAGTAGGCATCTGCAATCGTTCTAACATAAACGGTTTTGTAAGTTCTTTTCCCAAGGTTTTTAGAAATTCTCGACGACTTAGGTAAATTCCTGTATTTTCTCGAAAAATTATTTGGCTATTTATGCCTCCTATGTTCATCAAAGAGAAAAAAATGGTCAGTGGCCATCTGCAACTTATTCTAGCCACAGAGTATTCACCCTTCATTTCATCCACGCAATCCACGCCACCTTTTGTACTGTTGTAATACGTAATCACCTCTGGTTTTCTTTCTTCAGACTCCGGATCAATGACACCTTGTTCGTGCATAGTGGAAATAAGCAATACATTTTTATTTTTTTTTGGTACATATGATGTAAGCAATATGTCTTTGTCATAACCAAACATCGTAGAGTTCAATTGTCTTTTTTTAGTTTCTAAAAAACAAAGGGGAATTTCACGTTTGTTTTTACGAAGTGTACCAACTATAGTTGTATTGTGATTTTTTAGTAGATCAATCGCTAGAGGTATAGAGTTATACCAGTTGTCCATGGTGATATTACGACCTGTTTTCGTTATTGGGGCGATTAATCTTTTCACGACACTTGCAGGGTTATTTTCACATTTATAAGGCCCATCGGGCTGGGTCCCAACGTACACTTCCATTTTCGACGTATAAAAGGTGCGAGAGTCGACTAAGGCCTGGATTTTTATACCATATTTGTTAGGCTTACTTGGGATGTACTGTCGGAAACTACAACGGCCTCGAAAACCTTCGAACATTTCATCTATAGTTACATTTGTCCCCACTGTATAACAGTTCTCGCAGCGTAGAACAAAGTCTTCAAATACAGAACGAATGGCCGCAAGCTTATCAAATTGTTTTCTTTGGGCCCGTGTACCTATATCGTCAAACCTCATTGCTCTTAGAAGAATATAAAATCGTGCTTTTGGCATAACTGCTCGAAAATACTCGGGGGATAAGCCATCGTTTGACCATAAATCATCAAGGTTGAGATAATTACTACGTAGAACACCGGCCAAATATAACAGTCCAAAAAGCGCGTTTATTTCGGATTTTGATGTTTCGCGTACCATATGTTGTTGTGTATATTTTGAACGAATTTTATCGAGATATATGTTAGTGTATTTTACTATATCGTCAATAATGGAATTAGAAAAAAATAAGTTCCAGCACTCCAAAATAGAATTTGCATCGCGACCTATTTGTTTTACGCCTGGTAAACGTAAAACAATGTTACGTTGTCGAGTACGTACATTTCTAGGAGGAGCGTCCTTATACCATTTTGTTTGTTTATCTTTCCCTAAGTAGTAAGAATTCTGTGCTATAGGACTACGACTTCTTGAACGAGAGGTTTGTGAAGTATTTGATCTATGCGTAGGTTCAGAAATGTCACTTTCAGACTCATTTTCACGTAATTCGACGGGATCTCCATAACTAGGATCAGCATCGGTATCGTCTGAGTCATCTAAAAAAACTTCTTCAGTCTCTTCTAACCACGAAATAACTTTATTGGCCATGATAAATTAAAAAATAATAAAAACACGTGTACGTAATCGACTACGGCGGTGGTGTAAAAATATTGCGCGGTTAGTACAGTGTTAGCGCGACGCTCACTTAATCGGTACTGTCGACTTTGTCTAACGATAACTGATAGGCAATGACAAATAGCGTAATTATTTATTTTTATAAATATTTATAGACATGTTATTTGAAGGTATTTATAATATCAGATTAATTCAATAATATTTGTAGGAATAACGCTCAAAATTTTATCTGTGTGAGCGGCG